ATAATAGAAAATTTTAGTCTAGTTGGGAATATGGCTTGAACAAAAGATAAATTAATAATATGGGTGAAAGATAAATATTTAGAGCATTGTTTTAAGATTTTACTACTAATATCATCGTGCCCTGTAGAATTTGTATTATTTAAGAAATTCATTATTTTTATAATGTCAGTGTTATTTATAGGAACTAGATAAATAGAATTGGGATAAAATGTCAATTGAGATGCATAGTCATTATTGGTTGTTATTGTTTTTGATGTTTTAATGTCATTAGCTAAATTTATAAAGTAATTGTTAAACACATCCGCTATTTTATGTGACTGATAATATGTATTGTCACTAATAGTTATTTTAGTTATATCATTACTAACTGCCATATCATTATTAACATTTTTTATTATTCGCCAAGCTGCCTTACTTTTATTACTTATTAGAATTGAGTAGGTAGCGTGTGTTGTCAAGTATCTGAACTTGTTGTGCATTTCCTTAAAATGTTTGTAAATTTGTAATTTATTTCTTTTTTTGTTTGCTGTTGAAAGACGGTATTTCAAACATAAACGTCTTTTATTAATGCTATATTTTTTAAATACCACTTGTAATCCATTTCATTTAAATAAGTTTATTTTTTATTTTTACAAATATTTTCATCATCATCATCATTACAGCCTTACACAAATCCACTGCTGAACATAGGCCTCCCTCAAGGAGGCACGCCACAAAGCACGGTCATCAGCCACCTGCATCCATCGACTTCCTGCATATCTTACCAAGTCGTCACTCCATCTAGTGGGGGGACGCCCTACGCTTCGCCTGCTTTTTTCCCATCGGTTGTCGGTTCTTCGAGCTATATGGCCGGCTCATTGCCACTTCAGCTTACTAATCCGTTGGGCTATGTTGGTCACTCTGGTTCTACTGCGGATATCCTCATTTCTAAGTTTATCACGCAGAGAAACTCCGAGCATAGCCCTCTCCATAGCTCGCTGAGCGACCTTGAGCTTCCTCATCCGGCCAGCAGTGAAGAACCACGTCTCAGTTCCATAGGTCATCACTGGCAATACGCACTGGTTGTACAGTCTTGTTTTCAAATTTTGACGTATACCTGACGAGAAGATGTGCCGTATTTTCCCGAACGCTGCCCAACCGAGTTGAATCCGTCGTTTGACTTTTCGGTCGAAGTTGGACTTACCTAGTCGGACTATTCATCCCAGGTAAACATACTCGTCAACAACTTCGAGCTTAGTGCTCCCAACAACTACCGGCATAGGTGTGACATGGATATTGAACATGATCTTTGTTTTGTCCATGTTCATCTTAAGACCTATCCGTTGGGAGACACTGTTGAGGTCATTGAGCATGGTGCTTAGATCCTTCAGCGATTCTGCCATAAGGACTATATCGTCGGCAAATCGAAGGTGAGTGATGTACTCGCCATTGATGTTAATACCGTATCCTTTCCAGTCCAGAAGCTTGAAAACGTCTTCCAATGAAGCGGTGAAGAGTTTCGAGGAAATGACGTCACCTTGTCTTACACCTCCCTGCAATTGGATAGGTTTCGTGCTCTGGTTCTGTACTCGGATAACCATTCTAGCCCTACTGTACAAGCTTTTTAGCACTTCGATATACCGATTGTCAACTTGGCATCGCTGAAGGGACTGCAGCACCGTCCAAATTTCGACGGAATCAAAGGCTTTCTCATAGTCTACATACGCCAGACATAGTGGCAAATTGTAATCCTCTGACTTCTGTACAATTTGATGAAGGGTATGTATGTGGTCAATGGTGCTAAGGCATTTTCGGAAACCAGCTTGTTCGGGAGGCTGGAAGTCGTCAAATCTCCGCGCGAGACGATTCGTAATGACCCTAGAAAACAGCACGTAGATGCGGCTCAGAATGAAATTCGGTCTGTAGTTCTTCAAGAGAGCGTTGTTGCCTTTCTTGAAGAACAAGACCACCGCACTTCTGCTCCACGACTCCAGTGTAATGCCACCACGGAGAACGGAATTAAAGAGCTTCTGAAGGACTTCAAGTACCGGTTTTCCAACCTCTTTCAGAAGCTCCGCTGTAATTCCGTCCTCGCCTAGGGTCTTGCCGTTTTTAAGGTGCTGGCCATTCTAATCTCGCTCAGACTGACGTCCGGGATATCATCAGATTATTATCAGATAAAACTCGCTCTTGGATCTTTATTCACACTTGCGTGTGGCTCCAACGATGATGTGTACAGCTGCCCATAGAACCTCTCAATCTGACTCAAAATCTCAGGTATCCCGGAAATGACGCTGTCACACTCGGTCTTCAGCTTCGACAGTTGGCTCTTTCTGGCAGACAGATCTCTAGCAAAGACTTTGGAGCCCTGGTTCCGCTCGATCGCTTCTTCAATACGAGAAGTATTAAAGTTGCGTAATTCCCGCCGCATACATTTGGAGATCTATCTGTTCAGTTGCCTGTATGCTTTCAAATCTACTGAAGACTGCAGCTTCATATCCCGTCTAACAGCCATGAGATTAAGAGTGTGATCGGAGAGTTTTTGTGTTCTTCTGCGGCGGGTCTTGCAAAACTTAGCTCCAACCGTATGGACAGTTTCCACAAGCTCGTCTTCTAGGCACTGAAAACGGTTTCGTTGCTCGAGCTGAAAGGGCTCAGGACTTTGGATTAGAGCATGAGGGGGACGGAGCGTTGACTTCATTAGACGAGACCACTCCAACTTAACGTATAGGTTCAGTGAGCCTCTTACCATTTGGTGATCGCTGGCGGTTTTCACCCTCGCGATCACGGAGACATCACTGAACAGTTGTCGTCTGGTCGTCATAATGAAGTCAATCTCATTTTTTGTCGAACCGTCGGGGCTCGACCAGGTCCACTTCCTGTGGGGCCGCTTCTGGAAGATAGAGTTCATCATAAAGAGTCCCTTTTTCTCCATGAAGTCGGCCAGCTGCTGGCCCCTTGGGTTCCATTGCCCTATTCCAAATTATTTCTTCTTCTATTCCTTGTTTTGCGTTGAAGTCTCCCATTAACACCATATAGTGGGTTTTGGAGGAATTCATGGCTCTAGAGATATCCTCATACAATTCCTCCACCTCCTCATCGGGGTGTGCCGAGGTTGGTGCGTAAACCTGTATGACCTTCAGCGAATACCTTTTGGTGATTCTGAGTATAAGGTATGCAACCCTCGTCGACACACTCTCAATCTTTACAACGTTGTTAACAGAGACTTGTGGACGATAAATACGACACCTCCTTGGGACAGATGGTCGCCCTCCCGGTGATAGAGCAAGTTGCCGGATTCGAGGATTACCGTGTCCTCCCCCTTTCTTCGGACTTCGGATAATCCTATAATATGCCAGCGTAACTTGTCTATCTCTTCGTTCAGCTCCACGATCTTCTCATCAGTCCTCAGGGTGCGTGCTTTGTATGTTGTCAGGTCGAGTCGTCTTAGGTGGCAACCGAACCTTCACCAAAGATTCTTAGCACCTCCTGCCCCGCCGTTACCATGGACGCCACCGTAGCCAGGAATAGCGGGACCGCCGGAGACTGGGGGCCGTCTCTTCGTTACTCTCATGGGATGTATATTGCCATAGTTGCCACGATTGGCGAGCAGGTTGGCAACCGCAGTTTTTTTATTGTTGTTTGCTATTATCAGAAAGATGCTGCTGCCCATCCTCTGCCTCAGTTTCCCTTTGTCGCCTCTCATGACACCCACGGGAAGATATGGGGTAGTGAGTATTCTTTTCCGTCACTACACGGGGACACAATTATTTTAGGGAAACACAAATTATAAAATAAGGTCAGAGTATCATGAAAGTAGTTGAAAGCCAAGTTAGTATCCTCGGCCTCATATACATCAGCAAATGATTGGGCTGAAATATAGGATACAAATTTTTTCACGTTTTCATTACTAAGGTCTCTTTTTTCCTCAAACCAAAACTATTTCCTCATATGACTTATATTTATATTTGCCGGAAAAGTTATTCTTCGACAAGTTTCATGATCAGATAGCGCTAAATAGTGAATATTTGGTTGTACATTAGAAAGATTACTGCCAATCAAATCAATACAAGACATTTTTCTGGTTGGCTTACAATGTGGTTAATTAAGTTGTGATTGTATAATATGGAATTATGTTCTTTAGAATTAATATCATTTTCAAAATATCTGTATTCCAATCTCCACAAACTATATTTCTTTTATTATTTTTCTTAGTAAGTTTATTTAAAAGTTGATTAAAATTTTCAAAAAATTATTTTATATTAGAATTTGGAATCCGATATATACATACAACGCAAATGCCAAGTGAAACTATCTCAATAGCACAAAATTCAAATGTAGAAATTAGCGGGTTGTGTAGCTTTTTTATGGGTTGATAATCTAATTCTTTCCTAACTAATATGCACGTGCCACCTCTCCTCTTGTGTCGAATATATTAAAATATATTTGGAAGCCGACGCAGAGATTTTTCTAGTACTATTTTAATAAATTATAGTAGAGTAGAGGGTGCTACTGTGCATATTATGTTAACATCAGCTCTGTTGTTTTTTCGAGAATAAAAATAGTTTTAATATCCAAATTTGTGAAAATCAGTGATAAATTTGTGAAGTTATACGTGGAGAACCTAAAAGAGTGTTATTAACCAAGAAACGTTCAGTGATGAGCAGTAAAATCTAATACCAACAGTTAGTAACGGTTATTTTACCAACAAACGGTTTAAGCAAATGTTTCTAGAGAACCATAACCTAAGACAACAAAAAAGAGGTTAGTATTCATAAATAAATTATTAAAAGTGTACGAAAGCAGTTATAAATAAAATTTACAAATAATAACCTGAAAAGTAATATTTTATAAGTCATCACCAGAAAATTAAAAAACAACAACGCCATCTATTAGTGAGTGGCCAAATCAGATAAAATACCTCTTACAGTTTAAATTACTAATGCTTCTCAACACTAGAGGATAGCACTAGGAAAGATTATAAAACTGAAAAAACTTTTAAATAATTTAAAGTAATGACTATGGATGAAATAAAAAAGTTACTAGAAAATATGCAACGAGAAATAAAACAACAGAAAACTGATATGCTGGAAATGAAGGAAGACATTAAAATTTCAATAAATAACAATATTAACGAAAAATTCAAAAACTTACAGTTAAAAAACGAACTACTTGAGAAAAAAATAGAGGAACAAACTATAGCTATAAACAACTTCGAGAGACACATAAGACGAAAAAATCTCGTCATATTTGGAGTAGAGGAACAGGAAAAATCTTACCACGAACTTGAAAAACGAATAATCGATATATTAAATACCAACTTTAACCTGAAATATGACAATAACAATATCGAAGCTGTTAGAAGACTGGGAAGAAAAAGTGACAAGGTCAGACCAGTAGTGATAACTTTGAGTACATTAGGATTAAAAATATATATCCAGAAAAACAAAAAACGCTTGGAAAAAACACCTTACTATATAAAACAAGATTATCCCATAGAAATACTTAAAAAACGCAAGGAATTGCAAACTCAATTAAAAAAGGAAAAAGAATTAGGCAAGAAGGCATTAATTAAATATGATAAATTAATTGTATTAAATGACAAAGAAAAGAAGAAATCCCATAACAATGCCAGCAAAAGAAACCTTTCTGAGTCACGGGAATTATCCGAGGTTTGTAGTCAAATAATTCACAAAGGCACTAAACACCCAATGAAGAAAAATAAGACTTGATAAATTGAAAAATAAGATTTTGTTCAACAGTGGTAGAGCCACGCGGCAGCTTTTGCTGTCGCACGGATGGGCCGGCTCGAACCGGGGTAGTACCACGACCTCACAGAAAACCAGCGTGAAGTAGAGGTTTACCTCTGTGTTTCGCTTGGTGAGTGCAGGTGGCCAGAGGCCCTTTTTACTGGAAATGAGGCATTCCATCTTAGTCCTCACGGATGACAACGCATCTACATTTTGATTCGTAACAGAGGATAGATGTAGATGTCTATGGGCCGCAGCAACCACTTACCATCAGGTGGACTGTGTGCTCGTTTGTCACCCTCATCCTATAAAAAAAACAACCACTAATTTAATGAACTTCATAATTGAAAAGCCAAAACTACCCTGCAACCCCGGAAACAACACCCAAAAACAAGCAAAATATAACCAGTACGACACAGAATAGCAACAATAGCTGGCCCCTCTTGATCTCCCAATACGGCTTGTCACCGCGGGAGATAAAGACTGTAACCCTCCAAAATGCCAGAAACGTCAAAACAAGCTATATATTTGTACATACAACGTAAGATCTCTTCTAACACCAGAAAAAATGATATTACTTAAATTCTCTCTAAACAACATAAAATACGATATCGTAGGGCTATCTGAATTAAGAATAATAGGAAATAACATAGTTGAACAAGAAAATCCTATATTTTGCCATACAGGGGAAACTAAGGACATTATGGAGTCGGATTTCTAATCAAAAAGAAATACAAATCGAATATAAATAGGTATATAGGGATATCTGAGAGAGTGTGCCTGTTAGATCTGGAATTTGAATCAACAAAATTAACAATAATACAAGTATACGCTCCCACTTATGAAGCACCGGAAGAGGAAATAAATACATTTTATGATCAACTCTAAAAAGCACAAAACCTAGCTCAAGGAAAACAGCTAATTTTGATGGGTGACCTAAATGCTAAAATCGGACAAAGAAACCCAGGAGAAAATATAATAATGGGACCATACTGCTACGGGAAAAGGAACTATAGAGGTGACCGGCTTCTGCAGTACGCACTTGCAAACAAGCTTACCATTATTAACACAATTTTCAAGAAAAAAACAAAAATCTTTGGACCTGGACATCCCCTGATGGAACAGTAAAAAATCAAATTGATTTTTTATTAAGCAACCAACCAGAAAGGTTCACAAATATAGAAATTATAAACATACGTCACAAAACGCAGGAACACGAACAGATATAGTTAAAGTTGCCACAGAATTTTTTAGAGGCCTCTACAGTTATGAAAATAACCTGTCTGCAATGCAGATACCAGTGGATATAACTAAGCCGACAGTATCAGTAAAACCCTTTGATGAGCTAGAAATCTTGAGACAAATAGAAAAGCTGAAATCAGAGAAAAGTCCTGGGCCGGATAATATTCCTAACGAAACTTTTAAGTTAGGAAAATCGATTCTCATACGCCCACTCACCATACTTTACAATAAAGTACTTCAAACACAAAAGATACCCCGAAAGTGGGCAGAATCGAGAATCATACTATTATACAAGAAGGGAGATCCAACTGATGTCAATAACTATCGGCCAATTAGCTTACTCCCAAGCATTTGTAAGTTATCTGCTATGTGCTTAGATAAAAGGATTGAGCCGTATATAGAAAAAATCAACCTATTGAACAAGCGGGATTTCGAAAAGGATACTGTACAACCGATCACATCCATACCCTAGAACAAATAATAGAGAAGCATCAAGAACTCAAGCAACCACTCTATCTAGCATTCATTGACTATATGAAAGCTTTCGACTCTATATCACACGAAAGCGTATGGCAAGATTTATATAGTCAAGAACTCCCAGAAATTTACATAAATATTCTGAAACATATTTATAGCAATAGTGAAAGCAGAGTAAAACTGGATAGAATAGGATCAAAAATCAAAATATGTAGAGGTGTTAAGCAGGGGGATCCTATATCACCCAAGATATTCATCTCTGTTTTACAAAATATAATGAAAAACCTGAGTTGGAAACAAAAAGAAATTTACATCAACGGACATTTTCTAAGCAACCTTAGATTTGCTGATGACATAGTGCTCTTCTCCAAAACAGCAAGTCAATTAGGAGAAATGATAAAAGAGTTATGCACGGTCAGTGAAAGCATAGGTTTAAAACTAAACACCTCAAAAACAAAAATGATGACAAACAGCACTCAGAACCCTGTAATAATAAATGGAGCCTTGCTAGAATATGTAGGGACTTACTTATACTTAGGCAAACAAATATCTTTTAGGAAGTGAGGAATGGGTCGCCCACCGCCCCTAGGTTATTCAACTAGCGTCGGTTACGACAAGCGATCAGTATGTATTTCGTTCGACGTATCACTTTGTTTGCGTCGTGCACAGTGACTAAAATCAGGAATAAGTAGCTAAGAGTTAAAAAAGGGAGATTCTTAATTCCACTGAATGTTCTATTTATTGTATGCATAATATTATTCGATATGCACGTGGAATTTGAACCGTTCTTGTTAATACTATTTTGATTAAATATTTTATACTTCATGAGGGATTCATATTCCACGAATGTGTGCAAAAGCGTTCCCGTTACTCTGGTAAATATGTGGCGAAGGTAGATCACCAAGGAGTTTTAGTCGGTGCGAGTCCGACATAACCCGTCCTCGCTTCCGTGAGGAAAAATTAATAAAAACGTCACGCACTTATCCATCTTCAGTACAGCAACAAAACAAACATTTTCTCAAACAGATTACATATTTACAAGCAGATTATGTCAGCTTTGAGGTACATCACAACTTCCGACTCAAAATTTTAAATTTCATAAGAAAGTTTTCACAATTTCCATTTTAAAGGTATTACCGTTACTAATAAGTCGTTTAATAGCTAAATTGAACACGCTTTACAGTTAAAGAGGGCTTAGAATCAAAGGAATCGTTCAGTGGAGTTTAATTTCAAAGATGAAGGGTACACTCAGCTTCTCAAAATATGTTATAAGCGAGGTAACGTTTTATACCAGCAAACGTTGTAGTATAAATAACCTGCATAAATAATATTTGAGGTTTACGCTCTTATAGACATTTTCAGTTTTGTTATAGCAAATACATATCGTTATATCGTCTTTACATCATTAACATTACAGCCCATCAGAAGTCCACTCCTGGACCTGGGACTCCTCCAAGGAATTTTACAAAGCTCGGTCCTAAGCCTCTGTCTCCATCAACTTATTGTCGCTTACCAGATTCTCACTACACGGTGAAATGATAATAAAATTAATTTAATATAATAAAGATTCCTCTCATAAAATGAGCTCTAATTAACTTCAATTTGCAACCTCATTTTGTAGCGTAAATTTAATAGAAATGGTGTAGGTACTACAAAAGATATCTTAAGTGAAGAGAAGAAGGTTTAATTTCGTTTTAGTCTAATTAAGTATCTTCATATTTGACGCATAAAATTAAAGAAATAACGACAGATTTTATACGAATTATAATTAAATATTCTTTATACAAAATAAATTTTACTAAAGATTCCATTAAACATGGATTTAATGTTGAAAGTTTTTTTCAAAGCAAAATTTAAGGTTGAATCAATCAACTCTTATCACAAGGCAATTTCACGTCTGGAGCCATAATCTCGGATTGATATCAATTTTCTTATAAATTGCTACTGTTGGCAACTGAAAGGGAGCACATATTTTCTGCTGTATTTCATTGAATGAATGATTCATTCATTAAATACGGCCTATCAAAAATGTACTGCTGAACTATCCTTCCCCATAGAGTGACTTAAAAGTTATCATCATCGTTACAGACCAAGGAATGCAACAAAGCATGGCCACGGGCCACCTGTATCCATCGATTTCCTGCAAATATTACCAGGTCGTCAGACCATCTAGTGGGGTGGGCCTACACTTCGCCTGCCGATACGAGGCTGCCACTCGAGAACCTTTCTTCCCCATCGGTATGTTGGTTCTTCAAGCTATATGGCCGGCCCGTTGCCACTTCAGCTTACTAATCCGTTGAGCTATATCGGTTACCTTGATTCTACTGCGGGTATCCTCATTTGTAAATCTATTATGCAGAGAAACCTCGACCATAGCTCGTTGAGATACCTTGATATTCTCTTCCTCTTACGGCCAGCAGTGAAGAATCGAGTTTCAGGTCCATAAATCATGACTGGCAACTTGAACTGGTTGTATAATCTTGATTTATAGGTTAGTACATTTATTTATTTAATTGGACTACCAAAGTTTGTTACTTCAATAAAAATATTAATGCTACGGCTTAGCAAGAATCAAGGACATTCACTTATAGGTAATCATCGCTCGCATAATAAAACGCTAAAATTAAAATAGGACTATAAACCTGTAAATTTTTTTAAGTTAGTGGCTGTCCACACAATAAACGTTAACATTCTAAGATGGTCACGTATATCACGCGAAATAAAATTCGGAATTAGAAAAACTTTTTTAACTTTTTCTAATTCCGACGGCTCCAGTATCTCCGCGTGACCAAGGACGCAACAAAGCACACGAACCGTCGGGCCAGCAAATTAGTTTTATTTAATTCTTAGCTGTTAATGCATATTAAAATATTAATGAACAAGCCTAATGGCTAAACAGTATATAAAACCCAATTGAGTAAAAAATTTTCACTTAAACGTGATAAACCACCAGCGCGCCCAACAAGTCAGCTTTTTTTTTTTTAAATAGAATAGAATAGAATATTTTTTATTCAATATACATTACATGTGTAATTCTTATTGAAAGTAATTTTTTACTTTACCACTGGTTCGAAAAAACCCTCTCTTCTAGGAAGAACCAGCAAGAAACCCAGCGGGACTTTTTTTTTAAATAAATTTTACAATATAAATGATTACGAACTATTTACAAAATTTATTTTAGAAACTGCTTGGAAGCGATCACCTCATTCCCAGGGGTTATTATCAATTCATACGAACGCCCCCTGGGGAACGTAATCTACGCGTGGTCGTCCGTGGACTCCTCAAGGAGCTCGATACCGTCCACATTTTAGATGGCCTCTATGCCCAAAACCTCCAGGTCCGGGAGCTGAATAGAATGCACCACCAGACTGACAAGAGTCGATTTTTAGATCTGTGCCTTGTCATTCTGGACCCCTCTCCGGAAGGTAAGGAGATTTTTAACGTTTTGCGCATCTGCAACCTAAAGGGGGTTGCAGCTGAAGCAAGCCAAAATAGGGGCATCGTTACCCAGCGCCAACGATGCCAACTGTACGGCCGCTCGGGTAGAAACTGTTACGCAAGGCCTAGGTGCGTCAAGTGCCTAGGTGACCACGGTACTACTGACTGCCCCAACACGCCCGAGACTACTACTAACCTCCGAGCTACGTCAATTGCCGCGAAGAAGGACACACAGCAAATTATCGCGGGTGTTCCGAAGCGCCGCGA